TGACGTGACTCGGATCCTGTATGCGCGTTTCCGAGACGCAGCATACATCGATGGCACGAGATTCTAAAGTCCTAGCTAAGGAAGCCTGTTGCCCTATTTGACACAATGTCCGTACATTAAATGCTCCAACATGTAGTCTAGAGCGAGGTTTAAGGAGACCAGGAACGACGTTTCGCGAACTCGTATCGTCTGCATTAGCTGTGCACTGTGATGAATGAATGTGAGAAGAGTTAGTCGTGGAGATAAGAGAGGTACTAGGGGGTGTAGGAAGGATTTGATTTTGACCAATTTGGTCTCGCGTGCTGTTATGGGTATGAGGGCGGTTGTCACTTCCCGGCTGCCCACACTGTGGAAGGTTGTTTCTTGACGGACCTGAAAAGGAAGATGGATTAGTGTTGGTGCGTGACCGCAGAGCCCAAGGGACAACTGCTTGAGGCCGGTCACGCACGGCCTTTTTATGAAATGTTTTTTGAGGATTAGCTCCGTTCTTAAGGGCCCTTAGTGGGCACCCTTACCCAAGGAGACGGAAATCCGTGAGTTAGGGGAGGTGTGACATTTTTAGGGCCGACCTTTTCTAACCCTTCCTTCCTTGTGAGAAGACAGCATCGCTGCAGACGCTGGTTGTCCGAGGGAAACACCTTACTGCTGTCACACCCCTCTGCAGTCAGCAGTACGACTTCACCCTCAGACCTTGGGTAGCTGCTTTTAGTCTCATCGTTCTCCAATCGACCTGCCTGGCATGGTAGAACCTTGAGGAACATATGTTCCAGCCAGTATAGCTCGGTTGGGTCATCACGATAGGCAAGCCCGACCACCACGTCAAGGTAGCAGCTACGGTCGGGAGTTATCCGTCTACCAACCAATGGACGGGTTTACTGCGCATAAGTTCGCCCAGTCCTACTTAATGTGTGTGAAACATGGCAGGTGAGAGTAGAGTATACTCGTAGGCTATCAGTATTCGATCATTAGTGTGTTCGAAGCATTGATCATATATCCTGGGACAATCGGGTAAGCAATGCTGTTGTTAGGAAACAGGTACTAGGTAAAGATGGCAGATCAATTGATGCAGTGAATCTTCATTAGTCAGAGTGGTTGGGACATGTGTTACATATGTCTAACTACTGAGTCCCTAGAAGAGCAATGTTTTGTGGTGTACGAGTAGGCTGTAAGAGAGCTAGGTGCGGCCAAACCAAAGCCTGGCACAAATCCATGAAGTCACTGACAAGTGAAGTGAGCCATGTTCGTAGATGTAGACTACCTGGTTGTGGTCCACGAGACGATAGTAACCGATGATTAGAGACCATGAACGATATGGCTCGAAATCGTTTGCAATGGTGGAGGTACATCCACTCTTTGTGTTCTCTCAAATTCTAATCTTCCAAATTCCTCATCACCTGTGTCTTCCTCTTTCTAAAGTTCTCTCACTGAATTATACTTCTTGAATAATATTTTCGTGCCCTAATCTTCTTCATTATTCTGCTATCTCTACCACTATTGGATTTGAACTGACAGTTGCGTCTCTGTGCTAATGTTGTATGGCAACCTGAACTGATGTACGTACGTACGAAGTTCTACATTGTTGCTGACTGATAAATCATGGCTTGTTAATTATACGTCACTAGTTTTACAAATAAATGATCAAACACCTTATTTTTCTGAATCAAATCAATTTGTATCAAGTTATATTATCTCAGCAATGCTTGACAAACACACATTTCCTGTAATTTTTCATCAGATTTTTGCAATTATATTTAGTAGTACTTAACCATATCACTTGGACTTTCATGTACAGAGTACAGGTATTTGAATCGAAGTTTGATAACAGTTATTATAATCGTGACCCAAAATCATACGATTGTTTTCATACGTTAATAAAACTTCAATTTTGTGCATAGAAATTATTATATTTAGCTATTTAGCGTTGCTAGAAACTAACCATTTATTTGGTCTTCCTATCTTTTATATAGAGAAAACCGCCCTCGAGCAAATACGATATGTGTTGCCAACCACACAACTCCGTTTGATTGGTGCATTTTGGCCTCTGACGTTACCTACGCTGTTGTAAGATATTTTCATATGTAATTTTATTTCACCATTTCGAATTATTTTGCTTTCTATGATATACGCTAGTAAACTGTGTCTGACAAGAGCGAGGGAAATAATTAAGTTGTAGTTATTTGGTCATGACAACCAAGATTAAGTGGCTCGATTCCAGTTCCTAATTCACTTCTATACTTTGATTTCTTTGCTTCATTCGATACAAGTTATGTCTCACTAACCAATGATTTTTTTTAAGTTGTGTAAAAAGTCTGTTTTGTGAGCACTTTCATGATCGTTATTCGTGTCTCAACATGTAGATCACTTCAATTTATTGACCTGTTCCTTATATCTTGTAAACAATGTGAGGTCATTCTCTCGAGTTTCTAGTTACGCAATTCACCAATTTCAAAGTAAGACTGGAAAGGTCAAAACATTAAAAATATTTTTTAGTTGCCGAAATTTATGTTTTACTTCGCATATAAAAATGCGTAACCAGATATGATCTTTTTTTTTTATCAAATCAGTTAATCATCCTATCTTTCTGTTCACCATACTAATTTTCCCCTCTATATTAATTCGCAATTAACTCATTTTCACGAAGTACAGGTGTTTGTATTTAGTTTTGAGCTATACTGTGTGTACAGACTGTCAATACTAATCGGCTGCCTTAATCGCAATACGTAGATTTGGTTTTGGACATTCAACCTAATCCTGATTGAAAACCGAGTTCTATCACTCCACCAATCCTAAGTGGTAGACGAACTTGAATTGAATCTAGTTAACTGAGTGATCCTAAATACTGGCTTTTATAGTTTTTTTCGTATAAATGACTATCTTCATTAGCATTTTCTTTTATTCAGGTTGGCCAAAAGCATGGAGGATTTTTTGGTTTTGTTGAACGGATAATCTCGTTTGCTGTACCTGCTATTTGGTTTGATCGAGATGAAGTTTTAGATCGTCTTTCTACAGCCAAAAAGTTGAAAAACCATGCAGCTACTCCGAATGCTGAACCCATTCTCATCTTTCCAGAAGGCACTTGTATCAATAATACATCAGTAATGAAATTCAAGAAAGGTTGCTTTGAAGTGGGAGCTGAAATTCATCCTGTTGCAATCAGAGTATGCATTGTTTTTTAGCAATGGCTTCATACGCTTGTATAAATATATATAGTTACTCATGTTACATTCTTTAACATGGTGATAACAACCAACATTTGCTATTGATAAATATTGTGACAATCTTGAACCTAATCATTATCACAGACAATTTTGTTTGTGCTCACTTTTAGGCATCATTCATTGTATTTATCCTTTTTCTAACGGTGTTTCAGATGCTTGAATCTAACTTGTTTTCTGTTCTTATATCTCATCCTATCTTCATTTTGTTGATTTCCTTCTACTATTTGCATATGAATTGTAGGCTGACTTGAACCATGTGATTATCATAACTGATGGTTGAAAATGTTGGATAATATGGGTCATAATCAATTGCATTGTCTTAAACACATTCATTCTTTGTATTGCACAAATTTATTCTTTCTTTTAAAATCATACTGCTTACGCCTAATATTTTCTATATCCGCTAATACTGTCACCATTTCTACTACCTTGGCTATCTTTCTGATAATTTCATTTTGCTATGCTCGTCATGTGTGCCAAACTGAACTGATGCCTAAACGTAGCAGACTCCGCCTTGCTTACTACTGGGTGGTTTGAATCGATTCATGCAGTCTTGTGTCGATGGTAACTAACTGAAACGATTAAAGTAGGACCCATTGGTTTCTTCAAAAATGGTATCTCTCTGTTTATTTAAAGTTACTAGGATCGCTCCTTGTGTAAAGTTATCGCTGTACACTGTGTAGTTGTTGTTTAGTGAACGCTACTCACAAGACAGATCATTAGTAGCATGTAGTTTAGCATCGCTTAAAAGTTACTAGGGTCAACCGACGACGATAAAAATTTCAGCTAGTCAAGAGCACGGCGTGTTCGGGATACTTTGAACACCAGAAACAATGCAAAGGAATACAGACTATAACTAGCGTGGATTGCAGAATACACGATGGATGTCAATGTTTGAATGAAGTGTACATATTTCATAAACGATCTATGTTTTCATCAAATATATATATTCTATCTGAACTTGACATGTTCCTACAGTAGTAGTAATCAACTCATTAAGAAACAACTATATAATGATTGCCATTTTCCATTAATTTATCAGTTAGTATTATTTCATTTAGAAAAACCTGTTATGATGTACGGTATCCCAGATCTGAACGTGAATAACGCTAACCCCTTAAACTAACTACTTGACCGTAAATACAAGAATAAAAGAGAAAGTCTATTTTGGCTACGAAATCATAATAACTCATATATATATATCATTCATTCTGACGCTAGCTATTTACTGGTTGTGTGTTAATAACGTTTCTTTTTTCTCTCTTTATCTTTTATTTCCAATAAAAGTACAATCCATTATTCGCTGACTGTTTTTGGAACAGTAACCTAGATAGTTTACTCCAGTATAGTTTCAAGATAATGACATCATGGGCTATTATGGTGGATGTTTGGTATCTACCACCGACCCGAAAGTCAGATCAAGAAGATTCGATTGCATTTGCGAAACGTGTACAGTATAGTATTGCACAATGTGGTGGTATGATTGGAATGGATTGGTAAGTAATGAATACAGTATTATCCTTTAATTTTTCAGTTGCCTTTGTATAATTTATTAATCTCTGGACAATTACTAATGTCATGTTTTTCCAGTCTTTTCTTACTGATCAAATTCTATCCAAAAACTTGCAATTCGGCCACTAGTTTGAATGACTATCTAAAGATGTTAAGCGATTAAAGGTAATCATCAGGAAACCCCTAACCTAGGTTTCGTATTGGTTAGCGCTCACCAAAAAGGTGCTCCTGCAGCTTTAGGGGGGCTGATGCTGTCTATGGCATTCGAACCCATATAATCAAACCCTACCGTTTTAGACGGCAATCACCTTACGTTCGAGTTTCATTTATCCTGAAACCGAGGTTCACAGTTTCCTGTAGATTACCTCATAGCATATAACATTTCTGTTTATCTTGTTTTTCTTGCTTCTAGCTTGCAATCTACCTCGCATTCACCAACAACACCAGTAAGATTTGTGTCTTACCAATGTTTTAAGGATTAAAAAACATTGGTAAAAGCATAAGAGTGAGAATTTACATCAATATAAAATACACCAATTTACTAATTGTATACATAGCTTCACAAGTTTGTCTCTTTGTAAAACAAAGTATTATCCAACTATGGTGATTTTTGGCTCAGAAAGATCGTTTTTGCGGATTTTGCGTCTTTTTGTACGATTTAATTGTGATAAAAGCATTAAAATATTTAGAAGTGTGACATTCAAATAAATCACCAATCGATAAATATTATCGATGTCAATGAATCATAAAAATCACAAATAATAACTATGAGGTCAAGAGGAGGACAATCAAATAAATAAGCAAACAATGACAGCATAAGCACCAACAACAACAACAACCAATAAGAATGAGGGTTGATAGAACTAGCTGTTAGTTATGAGCTGAGAAATTGAATTAACTCATTTATATTTAAAGGCCTTACTAATCATGTTGTCTTGTAATATCAATGCAAATTGTAAACGATTAAATTACTCTGCTCACAGTGCATAGTCACACCGAAATCCAATTTCAAAAGCATTAGAACAGAGTGACACTATCGAGATTATTATTACTTTAGTGCCTGACGAGTTCAGTTCTTTTTTATTGATTTTTTTTACTTAAGTTCTATATTCCGTGCTAAAAAAATGTCACTTAGAATTTTATCAGGAGACATGTACGAAGCAATTCAATGATTTTTTAAAATCAACTGTCAACAGACATCAGTACAAAAGTGATAAATACTAGAAATTAGTGAATGACAGGTCAGACTGATAAATATCTAAATAACATGTCAGATATAAACCCTCACATTCTGTTATGTAGTCAGTATCTTTGTAGATAATTATCATTGAATACTAATAACCTACGAATATCCCCAACTCTTACCGGCCATGTTTCGCATCCATATAGTAAGACGGAGAAAACTACTGCTCTCTATGTTACCAAGACTACTTCATCCAATGGTAGTAGCTACGATTGGTGGATTTATCTTTTTATACTATATCCTATGTACTTTATTTCTTCATCTATCTTAGGGATGGTGAATTAAAACGCAACAAACCAAAAGATACATTGAAATACGCACAACAAAAATATGTTAGTCAGTATGTTATATCTGCCGATTCCAAATTATCTTCTACATGATACAAATTGATCTATCCTGCATACGTATAAATTCCCATCCAAAAAAAAGCTGTACAACTCTTTTTCTCTTTTTCTTCTATTACAAGTTTGATTTTACATTCTCTGTTTCATTGGTACCAAAGTGTTGCTGTTGTTTTTTATTTTATTAGCAAAACAAAACAAAAAAAATTATTATTTTACATTTGAATTTGTAGTTATATTTTACAATTGATATTTTTTCCTAAACATATAAAAAAACAAATACATTCCTTCTTATCTATTTTCTAGCAAACAATTAATATCAGTCATTTTCTATGATGGCTTTTTTGCACAATTTCTTTTCAAGTTACAAAAATTTATAATTCGTTTTTTTTTGCTCCTCTCTTGTATATCAATCACTCTGTGGATGACTACTGCTGTCATATCTTTTCAAACTGAACTCTGGTCACACTTATTCCATAGATTTATATCTACACTGGTCTTTTGATGTATTATTATTTCACAATTTCTCTATCAGTCAGTCAGTCAATCAATCAATCAATCATTCATTCGGTCGTCTAATCAGTACACATCTTAATGTTACACTAGTTTTACTATTCCTTTCCATTCTTTACTATTATTTTTACTGATCACATTTCCATGTATAGAGAGAAAGTGTTCAATGGAGTTGAACAATTTGTAACAAATTTATGTAAAAATAAATAATCGTGTATATACTAATACTATTTATTGATTAATTTTAATTTTTTCTTCCCTAATGTATAAAAATTATGTTCCTATTATCGAAAGGCTGATGTTAAAACAGCTCTAGTTTAGATTTCTCTATTTCCAGCAATAAATTCGCAGAATAAGACTATAGAACAGTGATCAACTTGGGCGTTGTTGAACCAATATATACTCTATATGACTAGATGCATACTATTTCCTCCGAAATATTTGAAAATATGGCATGATAAGAAAAAGAATCCTGCGGGGTGCAGGAGTCGTGGATGCTCACTGCTGAGGAGTCCCATACCAGGACGAAACGGCCGTCCAGTGCTTCCACGTTTCTAATGTTGGTCTAACATTGATCGATTCAAGGTTACGAAATGTGTAACTTAACAATCTTCACAACCCCGTAATGCAAAAAAGAAATTATCAATAATTGTAACCATTTTTTTTCATGCGCACATTTAAATTGGTTATAACTAGAATTCTTAGTGATTTACTGCACAAATTATTGAACTCTATGATATATATATCTGTCTTAAAACCATCATAACTGATTATGTATGATGAATTGAAAATTATTAAGATTATATGAACGACAGGTTTGAGAATTGTAAAGATGTCAGAAAGAAAAAAATTGTTCATGAATATGCGGGCGGGTCATTGAATCACATATCTAAGTCATGATTGTTTTCATATTATTCTTTTTTTAGAATTTTATCTCATGAACTGAAATATTAACTGAAAGGTTATTGAAAATAAAGATAGCATTTTACAGCTATTTCTTTGTAGAATAGGATTCTTTGACAGTTGTACACTTATTATTCCAGAATTCAAAGCTGCAATATATTTTTCGTGAGTTGGTTAGAATTAAAAATATGTATTGCGGAATTCCTACATGACTATCTTATCAAGTGATGATCAATTTGTTGGGAGTTCCAAAGTTTTCAGTTAACATAAGTTTCTTTCAAATTTAAGCCAGCTAGTAGGAATCAATAGTGAAAATTACTTCCTGAATAAACTAATTTCCGCATTGTTTTGATTAGTTATACAGCACATCATTTGTTCAGTATTCTGTCGTGAAGAGTTTGTTTACTTTATCTCTAGTTTATTCATTTTTTATTATGGAAGCTTCTCTGACACTACTATGTACCTGAGAAGATAATCAACATCATATGGAATTCTTACTCTGGATTAAACTGCAAAATCGTATGCACGAACTGCATCTCATTCCAAGTGAAAACCGGTATCAAACAAGGTTGTTTACTATCATTCTTACTCCTGGTGTTTGACTGAATTATGAAGAATATTCAAAAAGAAAAGAAATTTAATGAACAACTGTTTTCAATAATTTCATCACCAGATTCTACACTTATTGGTCCATAATCATTATTTTACAATGGCCAAAATAAGCATTAATAACTTACTACTACTTACTTACACCTGTTACCCCTAGGCCGCCGAGAACCACCCAGGCATTAATAAATTAAACAATATTATGTTAAAAACGGTAAGCTTTGGATGTAGGACAACACAAATATTTCAAAACTGTGTTATTCGTAAACTGAAAGTCATTTAATAACTATAAGAATGATTCTGTTATGATTGGGGAGTTCCAAGATCTGATTGCGATACGCGCTAAGCCTCCGAAACTGGCTTCTTAAGCAAGAAGACAAGAATGGGTTAAACAGTCTATTTGACTGCCGAATAAGTGTACAAATACTCATCAGAATATATATATTTCATCCTTTCTCTCTTTCATTAAGTCAGTCGGAAATTACTGGCTTCTGTTCTGAACAGCCTAATAGTCTCTGACACCAAAAATTAAAGAGCTAAACTGCCCTTACTGTCTTGTATACCTAACTACTTGTGATCACAATAACGTTGAAAAAGAACTAAAATATGGACTAGATTGACACAAGCTGGTTTGTTTTTCCGTAAACATATCGATTTTATGTTACACCGGTACAAGTACTTGGACAAGCGACATTTGGGAATATGCTTGACAATTAACAGCAAGGAGTGTGTGCGGTTATAACCTTCCACCCGTAAAGCTGGCATTGAATTGAGAATATAGAGATATCTCTCTAACACTATTTCCATGTGAACGGACGATGATAACCGCTTCAAAAGGACTCCTACACACAGTTAAGAAGTTCCTACAAAAGTGAAGAGACAAAGGCGAATTTTCAGAGCGTAAATTAATCAATAAATCAAATATTAGCGGTAATCATGATGAGATCACTACAATATTGTTTAAAAGTGACAACAGTGAAATCTATTTTTTTGTAAAATGACAATCCGTTTAGTGTGATTAAATTATGATAATTTATTGATAAACACAATCATCAAAGTGTAAATACACTCTACGTAATAAAATTCACTACTCAGTTAATTGCCAGATGTCGATAATGAGTATTGATTAGCGAGCGATTTCTTTTGCTTTTCACTACTACTTAGAAACAAAATGAACTAAGCAATATTCTGCAGTGACAGATTTATTTGTTAAGCATAAAATCAGTACCGAATAAACGGTGATAAGTCAGTTAAGCAATGTATATTAATATTTTCTCCAAAAGAATTAATCATTCATTGATCTAAAGGATGAGAAGTTAAACCAAAGATACGATCACATAATTGTCTGTTTATAATAACGCTTTAAGTAAGAACAAGAACTGACAGTAAGGAGTTGTGGAGATCGCTGTATTTCATTGAAACAATAAACTGATCAAAGTTAGACCGCCTTGAAAACCTGTAAGCACTAGACTGCCGTTTCGCCCTAGTATGGGACTCTTCAGAAGTGCATAATTATTAAACGTGTGCAAAATATCAGGCAATCAGATCTTTAGGATAAGTACATTCCGTAAGAATAAAGATCGAAATTGACACTAATATTACTTGAGAAACACATGGTGTGCTACAGTGAGAGTAAATTTGATCGACCACTGGGCTTGAACAAAAAGAAACAGCTTACTGAATATCATATATGTGATTCTCTTCCTTGTTATTTAGAATAGATGGAATGTTGCTGGAAATGGAATCCAGAACGCACACTTCAACCTATTTTAGACTTGTCATCTAGACGTCCCTTCATTACTATCAATAATTTCTACACTGGACTCACTGAAAATAACTGCTTATAGTTGCACGGAATAAAGTATTGTTTAGCGTTTACTCGGTTGTATATCGTGTATCTGATATAACATGATCTAGTCTGTGTATGATGTATCAGTCTGATTATTATATTGTAGTAGTATACCGCTGAAAGAGTTATTCCGACTCATCCGTTATAAGAGTCACTAAATCGCAGTTCAGGGTCAATTGTTAGGTAGTACTAATTTTTCCGAAAAACAAGGATCGGTTTTATCAATGTATGTTCTTATAGCTTCTGCTGCATGTAAAAAAAAAAGTTTGGAATTATAGAGCAGGTTGTATGGAATTTTATGAGTAACTTAGAGAGCTAGATCAATGTCGACATATTTGGCAGAACAAAGTTTATTGTTCCCCTTTTTTTGACCAACCAAGAAGTGTGATATTTAGAAGTAGAATTGGATCTTTCCATGGTTATAAGTTCAATATAACTAGATCTACATGATCATTGTGGTGGTGTTTCGTTCTCTGAGCTGGATGTTTTGGTTGTGGAGCTATCATTGTTCTTCTGAATAACATCATCATCAGGTCAAACGTGGAGAAATTCGAATACTTCACTTTTATCTGAAGTTAGTGCTGCTGATGTTGTTAAGAAGAACAATGAAAGCTCTACAACCAACACATCTAGCTCAGAGAACGGAACACCACCATAATTATCCTTCACCTGAGCTACGAATTTTCTCCACCATTTACAAATTCAGTTGAATCGGTAAAGAGAATTACAGCCGCCTTAGGGACTAGTTTCTATGATAAGTACAAAAATCCACGAATTAGCAAATGTACGGACAAAATAATCTAAAAGAAGGTAGATGCCGTTATTAAAAACTTGTACATATCTTGAGAAATTATCAAAATTATTATATTCTTGAGAGACTGCATAGCTGCTTTACAAAAAATTATTATCATGCTTCTGATATACTTTCTACTGGAAACAATTTCTCATTGACGATGCTATCATCACTGAAATATTGTACTAGTATTAACTGGAATAGTTGTATTTTCAAGTACATTAGGGGACATTTACTGCAAGATAACATTTCTTTCTACTTATCTGCAGTCACATAAGTGCTCTTCAAGTAAATCCAATTTTAACAGTCTATAGAGTATATTGTAGAAATAAGTGATTAGCCTAACAAAGTGTCGAGATATGGCAGAGCATTTGATAAAATCTCATTTTGTTTTTCAAAATCATGTTATCAAATAAGCTGGATAATATGTTGATGATATAATCACTTGCTAAAGAAATCGATTATTTAATCCAATTTTTTAAAGAATCTTCTCTATCGAAGATTAGCATTATTAGTAATTTTATTTTTAACTGTCACAGACTAATTTCATTCATTTTCTTTTAGTATACTCAACTCCTCTTACTTATCTCCTCACAATCTTATTTATATTGTGTAACATATTTATATTTTTGTGCCCCTTTTATCAATGTTTATGTGTTTGAATAAAGGAATAAAATAAATCAGTTACAAACGTACCCGAAGTTGATATGCTGTATATTGGATAAATTAGGCAAGCGATTGTTCGTAGATGCTGATCCTTCACCCATGTTCGCACGGTAGATAATGTTCACTTCGGCTTTTAGTCCTATTTTCCTAAAATTTCCCCAAAGTTTATAATCGGAGCTTCTCTAAAATTGAAACCGTTTTCCCAAAGTCAGAAGATTGGTAGGAAATCAAATTAAGAGTACTTACTCTTTTCTAGTCTATCTGAAGCTGCAGCTTTTGTTACAATCTATTTTATTTACGAAACATTTGGAAAGTGAAGCATAGCATTGAATGTCTATAGTATGCATCTTCATGTATTTAAGTAATCAAAACTTCCAGATTAGTTTGAGATTCTTCCCCATGTTGACTTAATAG